GCCACGTGGCATCGCTTCGTTGGAGTCCTGGATAATGTCTGCTGTGAATGACATGGTCATTCGGGCCGCGACCATGATGAAAGAGTCATGATCATCATCATGACTTCCATAGCATCAGACAAACACGAGGAGGGAAAGGAAGAGGAGGAAGGCATGGAGTCATGGACAACGGCTGATGACTGGTTGAGGTGTCTCTACCCGCCTTCAAGAGTGAAGCGGACAGAGGAATCGAATGAGATTCACACACTGTGACGACGACGACGATGACGATGACGATGACGATGACGATGATGATGAAGATGATCACAGAGACGGGAACTACAACGACAATGAGGAGGAAGAGGAGGAGGGGGAGAAGGAAACGAAGTTTTTGGATGCTTCTGGATGATGCTGGTGACGATGGTGATGATAATAATGACGAAAGCAATAGCAATCAGAACCACTAGGACAATATGAGGAGGAGGAGGAGGAGGAGGAGGAGGAGGAGGAGGAGGAGGAGGAGCAAGAGAGAGGAGAAGAGGAACAGTACAGCGAGAAAAAAAAAAATGGCGGAGTATGATTTCGATACCGACCTACGCTACTTCTTACTGCCCTGAACGTACTTCTAAGCAGAGGATTACCTCAAAAACGGGAGCGTCTGCTTGACAAGGGCAGCGCTGAACGGATTGCCTCAAGAAGGGTGATTGTCAGCTGGACGGCATAGTTCCAGAATAAGGGCAGAATTCGCCCAGGCGGATGCGACTCGCGGCGCTACTGACCGAACAGTGAACGCCGAGCGCATCTTCAGCGTCAAGGAGGAGCTGGACGAGCAAGAGGCGGGCATCTATTCACGATGGACCGATACAGCGAAGATAAGCATGGTGGGCCAAAGATTCCCATTTTGCGACGATATCAGCACAAGGGAAATTGAGAAGTGCACAGTGGGCTGTTATAGACCAAGGCGGGTCATAGCATTTGAGAGACCCACAGCTTTGAGTAGGGGTCGGTAATTTCTTTGGTGTGATTCAAGGTTTAATTTTTGGAAGGTCTGTTAGTTTGGATGGTTTAATAGGGGACGCCAGATCCGGTTTCCAGCATCAGCCGAATCTGGGTAATGGCACCAGCATTTTATCCGGGCCTCTCTTCCATTCATATTGGAATTTATTGATTACTTTCCAAAAAAAAAAAACAAAAAAAAACAAACAAAAAGAAGATAAAGATGGCCCCTGCTGTCTTTTCATTTTTATTTTTATTTTTAGCATCAATCACGGGGGAGTGCGGTCAACCCCTGGAGGGAGATCCCACTATCGAGGTATGTGGTCTAGTGTGACGGGTGCGCGACGTGCGGGCCACATCGTGTGGCATCCTTTCCGTGAACATAAAACTTTTGAAAAATTGTGGTAACCAAGGGCGTCCGAGTGACGGGTGCCCCAGCCGACCAATAAGCACCGCTGCTTTGACTGCAGACAGCATTCGCACACAGTCTGACACGAACTGACATCCCGTCATAATGGCAAGGCCGAAACTTTTAGCTGTTGGCCTTTCTTTCCTGCGAGGGCGCCCTCCAAAAGGTAAGTGGAAGGTAGGTGAAAATCAGAACGAAAAAACGTCATGATTTTCACTCACATGGGGGACCCCTCTAGGACATTCGAAACAAAAAAAGAAGCAAGACCTACCAATAGGGCGCCACGGAAATACATATATACCCATCCCCTTAAATACGAAAAAAAACACACCGTTGATTGCCGTCCCGATCTGCGGTGCATTGGAGTCACACACCGTGTCCACTACTCCACTCATGTGCGTAGTGGGATCTCCCTCCTGCTCAATTTTTTTTTTTTTTTTTTTTTTTTTTTTGAGAGAAAGTCTGTCCATTTTATTATCAGGTAGACAAAAGAGGGCCGGGAATCCCTCACAAACAACCCGGTGAAACTAAAACAGTTCTGGGGCCATTACCCAGTTTAAGGCTCCTGGGAACCGGGCCCAGTGTCCCCTGACGTCTGAACTCTCAAATGAAAAAAGTAAGGTGGGGCTTATCCCCAGAACACGCCCTGCACTCTGAGACATAGGTCTATCTATTCTTCTACCTAAGCTACTTCCTTTCTAGTGGGGGTGGCCAATACGCTCCCTAAAACCTAGAGGGGACAACAGCCAAGGACAAAACTGCAGTCGGCCCTTCAAGTCAAGCTTGAGCAGCTTGTTGTCTCTTCCCCATGTCTCATACAACCATTTCCCGGCAGAGGTCGTGCTATGTGCTCTTTGTCTTCGTCTCATCCAGTCACTTGTTATGATGAGTCGAATCTGTTGAGTGATCAATGTCTTTATTGCAGCATCTGACTTATACTCCCTTCTAAATAACTGGTTGTTGCGGTCATCCCAAATTATTTTCATGATAACACCTCTGAGTGTTTGAGCCACATAGACCCACTCTTTCTCTTCCGGTTTCTCCGAATGATGGATGCCCGAAACAATCCATTCGTCACTCCAATCGAACTTCTTCTGCGTAAGTCGATCCCAATGCTGGATGAACCAATTCCATATTCTACGCGAGGCTGGACAAGTTAGCCAAAGGTGGCGGCCATTCTCCCACATCCAGTTACACCGGATACACCTTTCTGAGATTTGCATTCCTCTTTGAGCTAAATTAACCGCTGACGAGGATGCCGAAAAGAGCTGCGTCCATAACAAGCTAGCCAATTTCTGAGAAGGTAGAGCTTTGAACTGCTGACATAATGAAAAGAACTGAGTAGAAGACAGTGCCAGCAAATCATGTTCCTGTCTCCGTCTCATGACGGATTGACAGAGTGGTTTCTTAGCTTTACCTCTCAGGTAAGTCGTGCCAGTTTTTGACGAGTACTCGTCCAAGCTTACCATCTTTTGTCCAATCTCCCATCCGATTGTACGAAAGTCAACAGCGACTTTTTTCAGGGGAATAACTCCCTGAGGGAGCCTCACGACTTTAATCAGTGTCCCACCAGCCGGCGCTTTCTTTGTTGACTGTGCAACTGCTACTTCATCCAGATCATCCAGGGATTCCAATTTAATTGCTGATCTGGGTGTCAGTTCTCTGGAGAAACTAAAAGTATATGGCCTTATCCATTCCCTCGCTGCGTAACCATCTGTACCTAGATCATCTGTAATTTGGTATATCATTCCTGCTGGGTCTTGGCTGGATATGCACCATGTGACGAACCACTTTCTGTAGCGCGCGACTTTCTGCGCAGCTACGTTGAGGGGTCCTAAGTTGGGAAGGTTGGGCCAATTATGGGAAATCGGGATCAGTTGGAAATTGCATCAGTGTCCTTGCTTTTTCGGCTTTTTCGTCGCTTCTTTTCGAATGGTTGGGTTCGGAGCCGGGTGTGTCCTAGGACGGTCGGTTGATTGATTGGTTGTTCAAATGGCTGGCGTGCCGCCGTGCGCGCGATTGATAAATGTTGACGTCGTTTCTTTTGTTTCGGTTCCAAACTTTTGGGCGAGGACATCGCGCGGGAATTTGCTTCGTTCTTTTTGGATTTTTCTTTTAAATATTTTTCGAATTTTGTTGAGCCCCGATGGCTCTCGGAATTTCGGACTTTTCTTTTGGAATTTGTGCTTTTTGCTTCTTCGCATTAGACAGGAATTTAGAAATTTCGTAATGAGGATTTTCCTTGCCGCGCGGCGCTTTTTGTCTACGCGCTTCTTCATGCGGCTGCAACGGAACTCTGATTAGTAGGCGTCTCTAATCGTGTGTGTAACTGTAATTTTGGGCGGACACCATTGTAACTGTATCTTTCTTCTTGCGCTTCATCTTTCCCGCCCTTCTTCTCTTTCTTTTGCTACGTTTTTGGTAGCCGTGGTCTGCATGATCGGATCGATGCGTGGAGAGCGGCTACATCCCCCACGCCGCGATCAGGTCATGCAGACGTAGGCAATCCCTCCTCCCTTGTCCCTCCTAAGTCTTTGTAATTCCGTGTTTTTCGCGCATGCATGCACGCTATAAATTTCGGCTGCGCGATTAGTTAACTCTCTGAACCAGCTGTTGGAAGCTCGGGGTAGCGCGATCAGAGAGGGTCGGCACACGAGCGAAGTAAGAGGTGAGTAGAGCAGGAGTCGGGCGACCCGACGAGCTGGTGCCAAACGCGCGAGGTTGACGTGGGCCACAACAGACTGTGGGCACGGGCGAACCTGACGGTTGCGGGAGGACTAAGCGGGGTGACGACTTCGTGGGTTGGTGCGCGACGACGGACTGTCCGCATCGGAGAAGAAGAGCGAGGGAGAGAGAGTTGAGGTTGATGAACGTGGAGTTGCTGTTTCTTTCATCTTTTCTCCCCCCCGATGTCTCGTGTATATAAACTTTGATCTCGGCTCTGGGCGATCTGCCCGTTTTCTGTTTCTCGGAATCTGGGCTTGGGTTTTTGCTCACATTTGTCCTCGCAATTCTTCCACCTCTGATGTGTTATGTGTATGATTACTGAATGGATGGATGTATGGATGCCATGTTTGATTGCCTATCTCTTTGCTGGGAACCCTTGTCTTTGCTTTTGTTTTTTGCATTCGATGCACTCGTGTGTAGAATAGGAATTCTGCGCAATCGATAATCCTGTCCTTGTCTTTGCTTGTCTTTTGATCGAGCTGATTGTGATCGTTGCATCTTGCATGCTCAGAACAGCACGGAGTGATTAGACGATCGGATGTCGGGCTTGGCGAACGCCGCGCGAGGACACGTGTAARACGCGATYTGAGTTGCGCACTTACACRTATCCCCGGGCGTCRACTCGTCAGGACCATCGATCGMAGATGCCCTGTCCGATTGGGAGTGGCCATCCCGGAATCCGCAACGGCGCAGTCGTCCCGCACGAGCACGCGTAAGTCCGACGCCATTCGCGTGGCCTGCACGTGCTCGCACGCAGCAATCGCGATCGCCGCGGACCCGCCCTTAGGCAACTCATAATACCGCAATGACACAATGACACGATCCTGGAATTCCGACTCCTCATACGACCCAGATTACTTCACCCCTTGGATAAACGAAATCCTGAGACAGAGATACCCCTGCCATACCGAGAACCGGCTGTGTCCTCGGGAATTCCACTGCGCCACCACTAGCGACCCCCGGTGCTCTGATTTCCCTTCTCCGGACCATACCTACTACTTCATCCACCCCGGATTTGGCGTTATCACCAGCAGTTTCCCTCCCTTTCGCCTTCGTCTTCCGTATCATCAACTCAACGTCGTCCCGTGGCCGGCCATAGCCCCCTACTGGCCCAGCACACCCTGTGGGAACTGCCGACGACGCGGCGATCAGAGAACCCCGGAGTTCCGGAGGCCTAACCCGAACGCGCGACGACCAGCGCCACGTGGCAACTCCCGACAGCCTGACTCATTGGAACCGCCGTCCCCGAAACCAACGGCTCGCTCGGTCTTGAGCAACCCACGCATACCATCTGCCTTGTAAACCAAAGCGATCCGCCCTCTCCGCCAAATTGCACTCGTGCCCCCGAAGACCCGGTCACAGGAGATCTCAGTTCTGACCTGGGACTCCATTTTCCCCAAAAATCCTTGGCACACCCCTTTCCGCACTTCCAGGCCCACATCCTACTCCGATCAGGAAGTCGCGCCGGGCGTGAGGTTGGGCGTCACACCACAGTCCTTCTTCTAGGATGCTTTCAATCAGCAGACAGTTCTTCCATGACCAAGGTATTGTGTCAATCAAGGCCTTTAGCCTTTCCCCTACCATTCTCAATCTTCCCAGTTTTCCCCTCAATTCCTGTTCCGTAAGCCATGACTTTGTTTCTGCATTCCATATGTCCCTAATTCTACCCACCCCTCTCTCCACCCAAGCTTTGCCAAAGCAGCCAGTGGAGTCGTGAGCAGAAAATTTCTGGCTAGCTACATCTACTATAAGAGGATTCTCAAAAAGAATTTGATTTAATACCGAATCCGTAGTCAGGGGATGCAGTCTCTCCATAGGAAAAAGCATATGCCACGCAAACAAAACATTTATCCAAAAAACTGATTTAGGTCTTTTGTTAGTGTAGGATCTGATAAAAAAGCAAGCTATTAAGTCTTCCTCTCGACGAAGGGACCATTCATCTTTCAGAATGTATACAGCTAACATCAGCCAGGGGGGCTCGTCTCTTGCAAGTAAGGCTTTAACAATCCATTTGGCAAGTAGGGCCCAGTTTTGTCTTTGAGGGTCTAAGATACCAAGTCCACCTTCTGTTCTTGGAAACGTGATTGTCTCCCATGCGACCTTAGACAAAAAACCTTATTGTTCCCCTGCTCAATTATGACGTGCACAAACATAGGAGGGGTCCAAATATTCTCCAGTTTGATTTCCATCGGCAGCTTTTTTTCATTTTCCATTAAAAAAAGGGGCCAAAAAAAAAAAAAGGAGTCAAAAAAAGAAAAAAAAGAAAAAAAAAAGGGTGACAGCCTTGAGATCTCATCGTCAAACTGACCCGCCATAGGTAATGTCGGAATTTCATTCAAACTGACCGGACCTAGGTGTCAATTTCAACACTTTCAGTTTAGAGGAAACTGCTCCGAAGTCACACTTTCAGTTTTAAATACGCAGGAAAAAACATCGGAGGCGTTGCCACTCCAACATCGGCGGAGTTCATAAAGGCAAAAAAAACTCAACGGTCCTTCAAGCAATCCGTTCAAATTGGAACGATACAGAGAGATGCAGATTAGCATGGCCCCTGCACTTTCAAGGCTGACACGCATGGATCGAGAATGGTCCAGCTTAGCATGGCCCCTGCGCTTTCAAGGGGTAACTGTCAAGGCCTGGGCTAACTGTATGAAGCAGCTTAGTGAGGCTGAGGCTCACGTGTCTACCCAACCAACTGGAGTGCTGCGAGAGCCTGAATACCCACATATGAAAATGTGGCCTCTGACGAATATTAAGGGCCGCCTTCACTTAGGGCGGGCACTCGGCTTGCTGGGGGCCTTAGCCCAGAATATGTGATGTCTGATAGGGTCCCTTGAGGGCTTGTTCCTAACACAGAGAGAGGATTAGCATGGGCCCTGGCCGCCCTGCACAAGGATGATGACACGCGGGAACGGAGAAATCCACCAATTTCTTTTGCGAAAAAAAAAATAAAAAAAATCATTGGCACGAGCAGAAGAAGCCTTCAAGAAGGGTGTATGGGACCGCAGGGGGTGAGATAAAACAAGAGACTGAGTGGGGTGTACACATTGTAACTGAATGCATTCGTGACCAGATAGCAGGAGAAGGGCTGCAGCCATAGCTTGAAGAAGCCCTTGAGATATACGGTGAATGTGTGAGTTCGACTTCCATATAGAGAAAACTACGGTGCAGTCAGGGTTTGAGTTTGAAAATGCATTTGAGCCTTTTTTGAGGCAAAAGGGCCTGTAATGGTGAATGTATACAACCTAGGTTTCGCGTCCGGTGGGGTCATGTGGGGGTGTGTTGTGTTCGCAGAATTGACTCAAGTGCATTTTGAAACTGTCTTCGTGACTGCGCCAAAGTTACCCCTTCCATATATTTGTCACTTGGTAAGTTTCATGGCAATCTCTACTAATGTAAACAAATCAGACCGCAAAATGAAGCCAGATTACCTTATTTGCTTCTTTCTTTCTTTTCAACTTCTTTCCTTTTACCTCTCTCTCTCTCTCTCTCTCTCTCTCTCTCTCTCTCTCTCTCTCTCTCTCTCTCTCTCTCTCTCTCTTTTGCTGGCTCCTCGTGCCCTCGAGTCGTAATCCCCTTTTCACCTACCTATTTCTCAAATTCTCACTGCTCCGGTCCCCCTGCTCCCTTTCTGATCCCTTTCACGGTTCCACCCACATGCACACACACAAAGCTGTTTCGTTGTTCGATTCGTTTATGTCAATTGTGCTTGATTGTCTGCAATAGACGTAAAGCTGCTTCAATTTTGGATCTACTCATCTGGGTGGAACAGGGACTGTTGTGGTGACAATCCACAACACATACGCACAGTCATGCTTTTATGTGGAGTTTTGTATAGCCAACATGAAAACACACACACAGACACGCACACACACACACACACACACACACACACACACACACACACACAGAAAGAGGGGCAGAGGGGGAAGAGGGGGAGAGAGAATGTGCTCATTTTTTCCAGATTGTGTTTCTACATAGACCCAAATTGAATTTACATAGTACACACTGCATAGCACACCCGACGTACATAGTCCGTCAAACTTACATCCTATGCACAGCCTGCGTAGAACCATCCTACATAGCACCCAAACTACATACTATGTCATCCATAATACTAATTCGTATCCATTATTACAGTTGACCTACTAGGCTACTACCCAAGCTACACAGTGCATCCACCCTACATACGACACCCACATTTCATACCACCACGTGACATAGTAAACAACACAGTACTACAAAACCATATCAGGGAGCAGTGTCTAACCCGTGAACGTGACCGGGCCGGTCAGTGGACGGTGACCGGGCCGGTCAGTGGACGACCGGCCGGTCATAGGCTTCTGTGCCTGTGAACGGCCGTTCAGGGTGACTGGCCAAACCATGACAGCGCATTTTTATTTTTCCCCTCCCTTCAACGGCTCACCCCGCCACCATCTCCACAAGCCCCACAATGTAATGACATTAAAAAAAATAAAAAAAATCGAAATATCCTATAAAACAAAACAAAAAAAAATGCTCATTCTGGCTCGTTCCCTGTTTTTTTTTTTTATTATTAAAAAATGTCATTCATGAAAAAACAATAATGAAAAAATTATGGGCGGGTACCCTCCGATGACCCCCACCCTCCTATACAAAAAAAAAAACAAAAAACATCACCAGCCAAAAAAAGAAAAAACACGCCCTCCCCGCGCCCCATGATGACCGTGTCCGGAATCAAGTCACGAAAAAAATCGTGACCGGTGACTGGCCTCCGGTACCCTTGTTCATGAACAGGGGCACGACACTGTCAGGGAGTACTAACCCAGTGACTGTCTACATAGTTACTGTGTCGAACCTACAGAAACACTTCCCAATAGCACACCATACTATAGTCGTACAACCAGCCTGTGTAGCACCCAGCCTACATACACTGCTGCCAGCACTCCACACAACCAGCCTGTGTAGCACCCAGCCTACATACACTGCTTACA